CTCGTTTCCGTCTACGAGTTCCTTGACCGGCACATCCGATCCGTTTTCGCCCGGTTTTCCACCAGTCGTCACTAACGTTCGCAGATGCATTCTCATGCAGGCTGCATGGGCAGAGTCTCGGCATCTCCCTCGTTTCCGTCTACGAGTTCCTTGACCGGCGCATCCGATCCGTTTTCGCCCGGTTTTCCACCAGTCGTCACTAACGTTCGCAGATGCATTCTCATGCAGGCTGCATGGGCAGAGTGGTGCTGTGCCACGAATGTAGGAGTTGTATTTCATTTCCAAGGATTGCTATGTAATCTCATGAATAATGTGACACGAACAACTTAAAATCATTTTAGTCATATTCACCGAATTCCCCACTGACTGGCAGTGTATTCGGGCCACATTCTGATGATGTCCCACAAAACGTTCTGCGGTGTTTTCAATAATTCTTAGCCTTAACCGTCTCTGTGTGATATTGGAAGAGATTAAAATAAAAAAAAGGTTTAACCATACTTAAGAGCAGCGCTGTCGTTCTTGTTCGCACACCAATATATCCACCTCATAGAAAATGAGCACGACAAGTAAATTCCATGCTTTCAAGGAATTGCAAATGAGGAATAATTAGCAGATAGTGATTTATTGTCCTCAGTTACGCACTATTTGTCAGCAAGTATCAAATAGGCTTAATAAATATGTTGTTAAATATCAATTCATATAATCTTTCAATCAAGAGTAAAGGTTTCCTTTGCCTGAGAGACGCATTCTTTTAAGCGCATATTGGAGTTGTCATGTTTTCGGGTTTTTTCTGGGCTTGCTCTACATGTTATTCACAAAATGTTGATTCCTCATCGTAGTACTAGGTGATATTCTATTGTGTCTTCGTATGATCGCATTTTCAGATAATATTCAAAGCTCGACTCTTTTATGCTATTTTTTTTCGGGTTTCGCACATTGATCAGCCATTGATCAACCATACGCACACTGATTGTGGCAATAAAGTAACAGGACTATGCCGGAGTTTTATTTTCATTCGGTTTCTCATTGTTTTAGGAAGGAACGCTTTTTGAAAAGATGCAATAATTCCCTCCTAAAATGGATTTTATCCTCCAAGCCATGTAGTCATACAGGTGAAACGGGAAAATCTTGGAATTCCATCCATGAATTAAATTCGAATTTAATTTCAAGTCATAGACTCTGAGGGAATGTTCGTATCTTGACGTATTAGGTTTTTTAATACGTATTTCTATAGTTTTTATATAAATGGAGTTTCAACAATGACTCCTGTAAAGAGCAATGACAATTGCAGGAAAGCGACTTAGGTCATCTCATGCCCTCACGCGCTGCATCAGGCGGCAAAACTACATGTCTGAGGCTGTGGACGAACTTCGCCCTCACGCACTTTATTGCAGATAGATTGTGGCCGGAGATTGACTTCTGGGACAGTAAAGGTAAAACGGTCTCCTCTAAACTGACATTTCCACAGGATGGAGAAGTGACGCCGGCTACTTTAATGGTTTTTATCGTTTTGCTCAGATCTCTCAGGATTCTGCATTTGCTATTGCTTCTTTGCGTAAATCACTCATTAAGGAGATGTTTGGACAGGTTAATATTGCAGACAAAGCAGTCTCCTCTGTAGAATATGAAGCTCAGCTCCTGAATAGATGTCACATCACGTCCTGATCACAAGCCATGGAAGGGAACCGCAGCAGGACCGAAACCACCCCTTGCATCCAATACTTCCGACCACTCTCATTAACCTTTGACGGACTTCCCTCGAGGACCCGTTATTCCTCCATAGCACGAGGAGCCACCACCGCCGCATCCACCGCATGGAGTTCCAGTCCAACCCTGCTGCGATCGGTAATCTCGGCTGAAGAGGATGCAGAGTTTCCTTTGGGCCGGCGGCCGGTATGCGATGCCATCTCCTGCCGTTGAAGAAGGAAGTTATAAGTGACGTCGTGGGCGAAAACACATCCACAGGATTCTGATATGCCTACCAGTGACGAAAGCCATGGAGCGTCCATGGTTTTTTTTTTCAACTGTATTTCTAAGAGACTATTTTAAAAAATCAATGTATTGAAGGAAAAAAAACAGGATATCACATGCAGAAATGTCGAAAACGAAAATATCAAAATCAAATCTCATCCTCTAACCAGAATCAACTTTTGAACTGGAAATGGCCTCACGTGCCGACTATAGCATTCAATGATTTTTATTAGGCGGCAGTAACTTTATAGACGAGAATATAAATTAAAAACTGGCATGTAGGCGAAGTTTTTTTTTACGCAGCTAATTTTTTTAACGCCTCAGTTGGCGCGGTTTTTTCGGGTCATGGATGAAGCAAATACAGCTTCCAGGAAAAAAAAATTAAATAAGCTTTTTCACAGTGAATGGAGTGTGGGGGACGGAAATATACATATTTCGTGACAAAAAAAATTCTCCAACCAATAATGTGACTTTTCACCAACTAATGCCAAGGGATATCTGATCTATGATCACTTGCAGATGTTTCCAACTGTGATTTGTACGGTGTAGCATACACTTTAATAACTAAGATCTGAAATGAAAAATGCCCAAAATATGTGACATTTACAGGCTGGTGATATTTTTACTTCTCTGTCTGTCACTGTGATGCCAATTATTGGAATGCATACCTCAAAAGAAGGGGATGAAAAAAAGAACTTGAACTATTTCCAAGACCTCATGATATTTCGCATGACCCTTTACTTTTGATTGTGGTTTTCCACTAATGATTCCGGATCCTCATTTAATAATAATTTTTCACATGTTTCATGTTTTCACATATTTACAGAATTTCCTTTTCCAATCTTAAGAACTGCTGTTTCGATCACGAGATATATCGGGGGGGGGGGGAATTGCAATAGGATTGCGATAAGGAGCTCTTTTCAATGGATTCTAATGGCCCTGTTTGGCCCTATTAACCATCGAAGAAGGTAAGTTGGATTTAGTTGCAAACTACACTTGAGCTCAAATCTTTTGAGAACCAAATAAGCATATATCAAAACACTTTGCCTTTGATCGCCGGAATGAATTGAGGCCCGATGGCATTTCTTTAAGAGGGAACAATGTAATATATGCCATCGGTGAGACGGCGCTTCCTGATGATGTATCCCAGTCTGAAATCGCAGGAAGAAATGTCTGGAAGACGTGGTCTGGCCGGGAAGCCCAATATCCGGCTTTCTCGGAAAGGAAGCACCTTTGATAACACCCGACATCGAGAGACAGATGGGATGCGTCGAATCGGAGTCAGCGAGTCGGTCGTGGCCACGAGTTGCGGGGGTGTTCTCACTTGTGACTGGGAGTCTGTGTCGGTTGCGACTGGTTTTGCGGTCTGAAATCGGTTTGCTATTTTCCCATATTGCACCTTTTCTCCATTCAGAATGTAGGGCTCCTAGTTACTCATACTAGCTACTTACACTTTGGGGACTTTAACTTCGGGACATCCCGTACCATGACGACCTGATGGCTTCATGGCTTTAAATTTGAAGTTCTGGCTCTGTTTCATGATTTGTTGACAGCGCATCAGTCCGCGGACACCTCGACATTTTATAGAAATTTTGATACCGATATCTCCCATTCCAAGAAAATATCAGACAAAGGCGAATATGATGAAACATTGGGATTTTAAACTGAAATTCATTTGATTAAAATTTGCACTGTGGCCTCGATTACTTTCCAGGCCTCTTCCCCTAAGGTTCAGGCGAGCGATTCCAATCTTACATCTTGTTTCAGGCAATTTGTTGCTTTGCTTCTTAAAGAGATGGACGTGAAAGCCCTTAAAAGCCGAACATCACCTATTTTTCTTTGGTTTGAAACGGTTTCCCAGTCATTTCGCGACATCACATCGACGCGATTCGCTTCTGAAACGAAGCGAAACGAAACGAAATCCCAAGCGAAGCTGCTACGACGCACCTGCTGAGCCGGATTATCAACAGAATCCCTCAATTCTGTCAAATTTTTGACAAATCAAAATTTGGAATCTCGGAATGGGGCGAAGGACCAAGCAAAATTCCCCTTTTTATGAGTTGAACCGTTCTAAATTATTTTCCTGGATATTACACTGCTTGAAATTGCACTACTGGAAACTGCACCACTCGATATTGCACCACTCGTTATTGCACCACTCGATATTGCACCACTCGATATTGCACCACTTGATATTGCACTACTTTTTCTGTGCAAGTTAACGACGAAATTCGAAGCAATCTAACCGCGTTTTTTGCAGACCCAGTTACTATGGGTTGAAACGCGATGAAATGCGGTCTTCACAAGTAGCAAAATGGTTTCAGATTGCATCTTCTAATCGTTAATTAAAACTCTTCCCGTGAGACACGAGAGCGTTCAAACCCCTCGAAACGGTTCGAAGCATGGAGCAAATCGCCGGATTCTCTCTGGCGTCGGTTCTAAGGCCGGATTTTCTCTTGTAACGGAAAATTTTTTTTCGAGGCGTTTTCCGTATGAATCTGAGGAGAAGCGACTCTTCCGGGGAGCGACGATGCCAACCACTCCCTTTCATTACTAATGCGAGAATGAACGAAGGTAAGGAAGTTAATATTACGATCGAAAAGAAGGAACAGGTGAGGAAATTAAGCACAATGCTGCCAAGGGCTGCTCTGACAGATGCGAGTAACTGGCGAGTTTGATCATGACTCAGAGACGAGAGAAAGAGTGCCCAGGACCTGGCTTGGCAGAAGGCCATGCAGGCCAGAGTGCCCGATTTTTTAGTGCAAGGGCCCGCTGACGTCATCACGCGCGCGAGATTTTACTTCCCGCTCTCCAACCCCCCTCGGTCGCAGCTCTTGAACGTTAACGTTGACCTGAAGTCGTGATGAGCCCCTATGGGAGATATCTTTCCAATTGGCCTGGAATCTGATAAATCCATCAGGTGCAATTTTATCTTTTATCCAGGCTTCAATATATCTGGTGAATTATCGACATCTTCTACAAATTTCCGTTGAAGCGGTCGGACTAGCAGTTACCAAACTTATGGTAACCCTGTATTCCAATATGGCGGCGCGCACAGAGCGTTTGCTTCACCAGTATAGGCGGCATCTGATGTGAATCGCGTAGTTTGGGCGAATGCCTAGTTGAGCTGCGACGGGTTTCTCATGATCGATCGACTGTTCGGGAATCGGGTTCCCCATGCTGAGAGTGCTGCGGGAGTGGGTTGAGGCCTTCCAGGGACTCATTGGGCGGAAGCGGCGGCGCGAGTCGGACTCGGAGGTCCGCGTCGTCAACCTGGATGACGACTCGGACGACGAGGTCGAGTTCTGCGGGGAGCTGGAGCCGCGCCGTGTCGAGGCTGGGCTTGGCCCCCGTGGACGGGCATCAGCGCTTTTCCCTAGTGAGTTCGTGATCAATAGGCTATTTTGGATTGAATGGTTGGCCTGCATAGTGAAGTTTTGTTTACTTAAAAATTCTCTTTCATGAGTGTAATAATCGTTTTCTTTAGTGTAACTGCTGGAGGCACGAGACACTACCTACTTAGTTTACTGGTAGATGAAGTAAAACATTGGTGGAAAAGGAATTTATGAGAAATGGACGAAGATGAACGATGTATTCATAATCAGTTAGAACCATTGAAGTACGCCTGGGATCGATTGCTGTTGACCTAAGCGCAGTACAGAGAATACTTCTCATTAGGTGCATGATTGTTGGCCAGCCTAGGTATATTCACGTTAGGCCTAACTTAACAGATTGACTGAATGCTGAACCCAACATTGAAGTGTTCACTGTTTGATCCCAACATTCTTTTCTTGCCTCTTCTGGTCAAAATATTAGGCCTAGCCTAATCTCATTCTGTAATGTTGCTGCTGCTGTTAAGGATTAACTGGCTCAATTGCGAACTGCGAAGTCTGCACTAGTAATCCGAGACCGATCTATGACCCTTGTGGTTTCTGACCCTTTTCCTCCCTCCTTCCATGCCAAGCTCGATCTCATTCTCCTTTGAGAAGCTACAGACGGGACCGAGTCATAACAATATTAAACATTGAATTTGGTAAAAAAAAAATAGGAACCTACAGAAGTTATTGAAGAGAGGAAATGATTGTATTTATGGTGTTTTTGGAGAACCTTGGCCTATTTCTCTACTTTTATGCACTACATTTTCCTACCTACTCATGTTGGAGGCATGGCTGAAGGACACTTCAATGTCAGATTAACTGGTTGATTATATATCTTTATCCATATTAAAGCGACCATTCTTGTGCAGCCTTTGCCAATTCCTTTTATGAAGTTAAAACTATCAGTACTGTATTAGGTATTACAAGTGATGGCACAAAAAAAATAAAGGTCAGACCAAATCCTAACACCATTGGTATCCCAGGTACTTGTGAGTACTTGATTGTTTAGACAGTAGAACCTCTCTTGGTTGCAGTAAAAGTTTTTTCAGAAAGAACCATTCCCTGCTTCTATTCTTCAGTTTGAATACAGGACGCTTTTGTGGATCCAAGGCTTGCTTCGAATGTGTTCACTATGAGAGAGGAATCAGGAGGCATGACTGAAAACAAATGGGATGCTGATAGTGGTTGGCAATGAAGCAAGAAAGGTTTTAAAAAATGTAGGAGATGGATAGCTTTCTCATGTTTATTAACCAAGGTCTGAGTATCTATTTTCTCCTTTTATGAAACCAAAACAATGAATGTGCTATAGTCTTTTTTTTATTATTTTGCTGAGTGATTGTTTATATTGGCATTCAAGCATTTTATGTTGGAATTGGCTTATTATTGATGGCCCATTATTGCCATAATTTGTTGGGGATTAACAACTATGCAATCTACTGGTGATGCCTCTCAGGCAGCCTAAAGACCTAAAAATAGCTATTTTGTGAAATCCCTTAATGCGAAGTGGCACATCACTGCCAGAAGAGCCATAGGGTTCACTCCTGATTCCTCAAAGGCTTCATTCACTTCAGGAATATTTTTTAACTGTGCTTTGCAACTGCTTTCTATTTTGTGAAATCCCTTAATGCGAAGTGGCACATCACTGCCAGAAGAGCCAGAGGGTTCACTCCTGATTCCTCAAAGGCTATATTCACTTCAGGAATATTTTTTAACTGTGCTTTGCAACTGCTTCCCCCCACTCTGGGTTTTAAGCACTACACTTAGTCTCAGATGAGGCTGCTGTCACTATGTTCTGCTGTATAATTATTCCAGGCAGAAATTTCTAGGAAAGTCGCCACGAACATTTTCCCAAAAATATAAGAAATCTTATTTATTATGCTCTTAACCCTTATTGGACATAATTAATTGCATGCATAAATGCTGACCAGCATATATTTTCTACAAAGCTCTTTAACATTTGGTAAAAAGAGCAAATGTTCACTTGATATCAGAGCATTTTCCCAAAAAGATACAGTATAGCATTTGTACTTTTAAGCCATGGAAAAGTGCATTTTGTGGCACGACAGCTGGGAGATTTGTACAATAAAGGTTAATTCCTCCTGGAAAATTATCACTCATATTTTTGAGAGTTAATGCAAACCTGCAGAAAGCTGCTTCTTTACCCAGCATTCAAATTCAGTTGCCTTCCTTCATTTCATTGTCTCTGTGATGCAATGTTGCAGGAGGCTTAGATGGAGCTTTCGGAGATTTGAGGGGACTCCCGGGTTTCACTCGTCCGACGCTTTCCGTGAGGTCCAACCGGCCGAATTGGCCGGAGTGCCTGCAGTCGCAGCCTTCCCCCGAAACGCCCGAGTCTTATCGGCTCCAATCCCTGTCCCCCAGGCGGAGGTATGTCGACCGTTCCCAACCTTTGACCCCGTGGGTGTTCGTTTGAGTGCTGTTTTGTTTTTTAGTATTTCTTGGGATTCCTCCCAACCTACATGTTATCGATCACAGTCGATGATTTCTTTCTTGGAACTCAGTATCCACCCACAGATGTTGAAAACCAAAATTGAAAATGTCAAAACTATAAATTGTTCAGCTTTCTCACTTGTCTCTCTGGGGCACTTGCAAGATTTTGAATTAGAAAAGTGACTCGGCTCATGCTCATGATATGGATGAAATTGTGAACAATTTTTGGAAACAATTGCTGTTTTTTTTTTTAGGAAAAATTATTGTCCTCTGATTTGCATAATCGGCTGAAGGGGAGTTTTTAAATTCATTTTTAAATACATAAATTAGGAGGATAGTTCTGTAAGGCTCATTAAACTTGGTTGCTGCCATTCTTTCTCGTTTTGTTTGAGTACTAAATAGCTGATATAGAATGCTTTGGAATGGGTTTTGGATGTTCTTAAATTATGTTTCAAGACATACCTTGCTCATGAGCTGGAAACTTTTCCTGCTGAAAGCATTGAAATCGTAACAGTTGGCATAAACTGTGATTGGGGAGGCAGGAAAGAAAATTGTAATCACCTTCAGTTATCCAATATTTTGCACCAGTAATCCATGAAAACCTATTGCTTTAGATAAGCCATGAACATTCATGTAGGTTTGCAACATACTTTGAATTGGAGGCAAATGATATAGCATGAGGTGAGTGCTTGCAGTATCTGGCTGTCTGATTCATTTATTTAAAGTTTTTCCAGGAAGTCAGCTTTGCACGGTTTGGACTGAAATAAGATATTAATGTGTAGTATTGATTAGGACTTCTCTCCATTTGAGTCTACTTGTAATAATGTAGGAATCATATTGTTTTTTTTTTTTATTTTCATTGAGTTAACTTGTTCCTTCAACTTTGTGGAAGTAAGCTGATTAGATACATGTATATTTTGGAGTGCAGTTACTTGTACTACAGGACTTTCTCTCCCTCACCAATGTAGCAGTCTTGTTGGCCGCAGTCCTCCGGTGAAACGACTGAAGCTTGCCCAGTATTTAAAAGGTTTGGTTTTCATCTAGCTTTAAATTTTCCTTTCCCTTCATGCAGCAAATGATCATGTCCCAAAAATGTTCCCCATTTCAGAGCATCAGACGAAAGCCAGCCTGGAGCAACAGCAGAAGGAGAACGTCCCTGGTGTCATGGTGGAGCCAGCAGTTTGTGAAAATGTTGGTTTTTTGCTCCTACCCTCTTCACATATAATTTATTGTCCACACCAGGTTCTTTTCTTGGGAAGGACATTCCATCTTAGCATTGCAGGTTTTCCTTATGTGTGTGCCAGGTGCCAGCATTTAGACAAAAATGTTCAAGGTTTTTATCCATGGCACATGTTCAGTAAATGCAATCTTGTGAAATTAACGGAGAATTTGGTAAACCTAAAAAAAACTTCAAGACCTAAGATGATTTGTCTCTCCTTGATTATTAAGTAAGACCATATGCATGCAGAAAATATAGAAATGTGCATATCCAAGTAGAGTGTGAGGAGAAGTGAAGTTGCTTCAAGATATTGATTTGTGTGTATGGGTAAGCTCTTGAGCAATGTATGAGAATACAAATATTTCATATTATGAGTGTTCAGTAATACCTATTTAAATCTTTTGCCAGATGATTTTCTTGTTTGTTTTCTAGGGACATTTTGAAAATGGTACCCAAAATAAACGCCTGATTGGGTCTAAACTTTTCCTAGCTGTATTAACTTTTAAGTTCCTCTTGTTCCTTTACTTGGTCAAGGTGTTTGTGTTTTTGTACACATCTTGTTAATTTTCCTTGTGAAGACTAGGAAACTATACTTTTAGATGGGATATATTCATCACATTTGTATTGAATCATGACTAATGATTTTTATCATGCTTGATCTAGAAAATATTTGATTTTTCCACATCCCCAAAATTTCCAGTGTTGTATTGTATATGCAAAACCCAATCCCTAATGAAAATGGAGGAAAAATGTGCAAATTTTACATGTATATTAAAAATCAAGTCTGCAGTGTAGATTAAGATATTCCCTCGCACATGTACTACTGCATGCTGGTCTGTGTTATTGGTGGAGGGCTGCATAGGTTGCAAGTGTAATTTTAGTCTGAGATGGGGTCAATGACAAGTTTACCAGACTAGTGTTCACGGAGAGCTGTCAAAATAATTGCTCACATTTTTAAGGTCAATTTGAGTTCACTCTTGCAGAGTTGCATGCAGATTCAGCTGCAGCTGCTATTAAAAATAATATTAATGGGTTTCTTGGCAAGGAGTACTTGATTTAATGGAGAAGCAAAGAAGTTCTTATATATGAAATGGTTTGATTGTGATTGTGATTGTGATTGTGATTGTGAGAATGTGATTGATAGCATTTGATGTCATAAAGGTGCCTTCATGCTTTGATAGTCAAATTTGCTTACATTTTTAGGGTGTTGGAGAAGAAAAGTTGCAGGCAAGTCCGAAGGCCAAGGTGAAAGATGGAAGCGAGCCAAAACCTGCAGAAAATGTCAGTTTCTCATTGCATGGGAGTTGCTTCTTTATGTTGGGTCAATGTGGATATCATTCCTTCAATAGAATTTTTTTTTTCTTTTGATACTTTCCTTCCAGCCTTCATGCACCTTATGGTCGCAACAACAGGAACATAATGAAAATGTTTATGTGATACATAGTGGTAGGTCCCAGCACATGAAAATCCCCACTACCAATTAATGTTAGTGCACACACCACTGAATTGATTAACACCGCCAACCTTAACACATACATGTTATTTGATAGACCTGCATGCTAAATATGCTTAGTTCTTGAAATTTTCCTGTGCTGTGGCCCATCATTGAATATAGGCTCTTACATGGCCTTTATTATTTTACCCACAATGGGAAAGTATGTTTTGAGACATTTGATATGTTTTCATACTGATCTATGAAGGCTATGTTTGCCTTTCTATGGAGAATCCTATATTACATTTGTCAATACCATGCTGGCAAAGAAGATCTTGCTGAAAACAAGAAATATATTTATTTTTATTCATGTGACCAAAAAATATATATAAGAAATAGATAGACTTACACATTCTTCGAAATCTTGGAGCCTTTTCAACCAAACCAAACTATGCCTTTTCAGGTAGTTCCAAAATCCTTGTCCTTTATAGTAGCACAACAATTTTACTCTGCCTGTCCTGCTTGTCTCCCTAGCTTATGGTTTTCCCCCCATGATGTTTGCTATATGGCTCTCCGTTTTGAAGGATTAATTAAATTCATATGGACTGGTTTAAAAAGATAATCTTCAAATCAGACTGTGATCAGGGTTACAAATTTGCTTGAATGAGGCATTTTTGCATTGTGATTGATTTGGTTTCTCATATTGCAGCCAGTGTTGTCCTTGTCCCTCTCCTTCGTGCAAAGGACATCCACCCCCTCGGCTGTGGGATGCTCGCCGTCCATCGGTAGTCGCATCGGATCTCACTCCTGGAGCCTTCGCAAGAATGTCCTCTCCTCCAACAAAGGCGAGTGTTGAACCGAAGAATTCACTTTCTGCTGTTTCTGCTAGGTGGACTGATTTTCTTGTATGGCATTTTGGTGCATCTTAAAACTTCCAGCATTGAAGCTGCTGATGCATGTTTAGAAATTTGACTGTAGGGTGATTGTCTCATAAACAGGGATTCTTGAAAACATGTGATTGTTAAATCGACTTTGATTTCCATGCAAATTAAGCCTTTTTGGCAGATATATTGATATTACAGGGTGGCCCTGAGAAATGCTATGTTGAGAAGAAATAAAAATATAGGTCTCAATGTGACATTTTACACTCCATGTAATTTAGAGGAATTGTTAAGATATGGATGTCATCTAGAGGACATATCCAAGGCATTTTTCACCATTTTAATTAATGCTGTAGTGTTTGATGTAGGACAAGAGGAGATGATGAGGATTCGTAGTTTCTG